GGACGGGAAGGGAGAAGACGCAAGACAGCAACAATCATTAGCTACTCTCTCATAGTGTATGACCACACCATCTACTTGTTACTAAAAATGTGTAGGAGCCAAATGGAAGACCACCCGTGAGCAACAACCTATGGGCACTGCACACAAGACGATTTGAGCAGATCATGGGCATGGGCTCCGCCCTGGTCGGGCAAGACAAGCCATCCCTATAGGCGGGCCGTGAAGCCGACATATCATCCTGTTCGCAGTGCCCATAGATTGTTGCAGTGCCCATAGATTGTTACAGTGCCCATAGATTGTTGCACTGCCCATAGATTGTTGCAGTGCCCATAGATTGTTGCAGTGCCCATAGATTGTTGCAGTGCCCATAGATTGTTTGCAGTGCCCATAGATTGTTGCAGTGCCCATAGATTGTTGCAGTGCCCATAGATTGTTGAAGTGCCCATAGATTGTTGCCGTGCCCATAAATTGTTGCAGTGCCCATAGCCGTCCCCATAGGCTGGACCTGCCAGAGATGGTAGCCCGCCTCCGCCCTGGTTGGGCTGGGAGAAGCCGTCCCCATAGGCGGGCCGTGCTCTGGCCAGAAGCCGACGTATGAGGCCAGGTCGTCCATGGCCCATCCGTGCTCGCACCCAGGCTGCAACCAGGCTCTGACCAGCCCCTCCCAATGCAGAGATCCCGAGCTACGACTTGGGTGACGTCCGGCCTGGGATGCCAGGCCAGACTGACATTATGTGGGCTGACGATTCAAAACATCGGCCCAGCCCAGGCTGCGACCCGGCTTATGCTCATTGCCTAGGATGTATCATACGCACAAAACTCACACAGCGCAGATGCAGAGCTCCCTTCTTCGCTTATAAGTCCATGCCACCACCACCTCTCCTCTCTCCGACACCTCCTGCCCTACCCACACCCATGTCTCCCCACACCTCTCCCCACACCTCTCCCTGTATGGCTGAAGCTTGGAGGAAAGCACAGGTGAGACGCACCTATGAGCCATGGCTTGCTGGAGGGCCGATGTGGAAACTAGAGGGGTAACAGAGGACCAGAATAAAGTCAGGGTGCAATAGAGGAGCAGGGGGCTCACGATATATGGAGCATTCCACAATCGGACCCTGGTGTAGGGGGGATGATGAGTAGCGTGGTGGCAGGTGATATTGGTGGGGGGAATGAAGCAAGGGAAGAGCGAAAGAGAACAAGCTCAGTAGACTGAAGGAACGAGGTCTGGGAGGCGTGGGTTGAGGGGGAGAAGAGAGGAAAAAGCGGGGTTGGAGGGAGGAGAAGGATGCAAGATGGGAGGATATGGGGAACTACAGTCGAATATAGCATGTGAGCTTAGACACAGCCGAGCTATAGTAACCACGGCAGAACAACAGACAAACGCATGTCACAATGGAGAACTAACAAATACTCTCACATTCAATCCAACATAGCTGACCAACAAACATGCACAACCAGGGGAGGGAGTTGAACAGAGAAGCAGCGGAGGAGGATATAATCAGCAGAGGGGGAAGACAGACTTTTATAGACTGCAAAAGGGGCAACAAAGAAAGGGATAGATAGTTAGATCAAACAACAAAGCATGTGTGGCAGACGAATAGAGATGAGGCTAACGAGTAAAGCATGATGATACAAGAATCGGGGTGACAACTAACCTGTTTGTTGAGGGGGCCAGGTGCAAGACGCACGAGTACAGCAATATGTTCAAATCGGGGAAGGGGAAGCAGGGGTGGAAAGGGCGGTGGAGAGGAACAATTGACGAGCGAAGTTGCAGTGAAGAGGAAGTGGTTGCGGAGAGCAACAGAAGTGATAAGGAGAAGCAGCAACCAGGAGGGGTGGTGGGTTGGGATAAGGCAGAGGAGACTAGAGAGAGGGTGGTGAGGGGCACAAGCAAGAAAGTGGACAGAGGTAGGAATTGTGAGGGCAGCAGACAAGGCAACGAAAGGGAAAAGAGGGATTCGTGTTGGAATATCCTTTACAGTCTAAACACGTGCAATACATCAGCACGTACACATGCAAACAAGGCTAAGATTCACGTGGGCATGTCCTGGGGCCCTCAAACTCGTTGACCCAGGAACTCTAGCTGCTAGGGTACTGTTGTTGCCCCCAAGCCTCGTCCTCCAGACCAGCTCGCACAAGCTCAAGCGTCACATTTGCCTTCTCGCACGCCGGTTTGCCTCGGAGATCCGCAAATGTCTCTGGGCAGACCTTTGCACTCCTGACCACCAGCCCATCATAAAGCGACGTGAAACCCATGCGCGCCCCAATTTCGTATCACTTTCTCAAACCTCTCGTTTTGCGCTTCTGCTTAATCAGACACAGCAGCCATCAACCTCTTTTGCCGTGTAAGCGCCGAGTCCTCCACTTCCACAAGGGCGTATTTCTTGGAAAACCCGCCTGCAGCCACCTCGTCCCGTAGTGACAACCCCGCCTCCCCAAAAGGCGAGTTCCAGATTTTCCATGCGTCGTGGACAGTTCATGCCTCCATCCAAGGCCGAAACATCTGTTTCTTGAACGCCTTGTTATTGTCGCTGAGGGGGGGCAGTGGGTTGGGGATGTAAACATTCTCTTGGGTGGAGGCATCAAACAGCACTGCATCAAACCCGAACAGTCCTTTCATCCCTTCAGCTATTGCATTCGCCTCCCTCTCTCAAGCCATCACTGCTGCTTAGATTTATGCGCTCCTTCCCTACGCGGAAGGCCCAAAGTGGATGGGGCTGTGGCATATCGAAGGTGAACACATGGAGGCAAACAGGGACCAACACATGATTAATAAAAAGCAGAGGGAGTGCCATTCAATCCAAGAAGACAGGAGCCAATAGAGGGTACATGCTCGCATGTTTTTCACTCCAAGTGGTCAGAGCTGAGGCCTCAGTCCGACTATTGGTCTGAGGCTATGCGGATATTGGTTCTCGAGTAAACAAATACTCGTGTACTCGGTGGAAAAGGCGACGAAAACCATAGTTGAGAGTAAGCTTTCCTCGGAATTAGACCTTTGCGACTTTCCACATGACGTAGATTTGGCAATAACCTGCTAACGGTTACTCAGGATTATTTTCATATGCAGAGTGGCTAAGATATTTCGGTAGTGCAGGGTGGGTTTTTGCAAGGGTGCTGAGTTGAGGGCGAGGGAGATGTTGCTTGCCTCGCTACTCCTCACCTTGTAGGAGTGACGAGGCGGCAGAGCCAGGAAATTACTCAGTGAGCATTACTCACTGCACCTCGAAGGCAAGTCTTCAAAGTAGGACAGCTAAAAGACAGGGATGTGTGATGGTGAGACTTACGGCACTGCGTGGCGACACACTCAATGCTTTCTGGCAATGCATCACTGATTGGATGACCGACTGGCTTCAAATTGTCCGAATAAGCGCACGGAGCCGTAGCGCCTTATGCATGACTAAACATGCGCGGCTTTTCCTTTCAGCGCGCTAAGCCCTAGAGGCATATAATGGAGCCGGTGGGGAGGCATAAGTACGAGGAAGGGAGCAATACAACAAGTGAGGTAGATGCTGGCGTGCATGCCGAAATAAATGCTATGACGGGCATCACAAAAATCCTGCATCCGGAAAACTGATGAAAAAAGTTGCTTTGGAGTTTTGTCGAGTGATTCATGAACGACGTTTTTCGAACGCTTTTTTGAGAAAGTATAGGTTGCTTTCCAAATGCTTTCTCGTACGCTTTTCAAATGCTTCTCCAATGTTTTTCTGTTCAAACCTGTCAGGTGAACACCTTCGGAAGAAGTTTGGTACAAGTTTCCGCAAAGCAATTTCGAAGATCGGATCTCATTGCAATGTACTCTTTATGGGATTTCGGGTTCATTAAAATAAGCTTATGTAGGAGACTTGCACGACCTTATATGTAATTTAAAACTATTTTAAGTTGCCTCAATCTTGCATTCAAAATGAACGGTACATAAGCTTTGGTAAAAGCTGATAATTCCACCCTAAAAACGCACATAAAACAGCATCCTAAACCGTCTGTGCCTAGTCGGTTAGGTTGAGCTGCATCATCCTACGACCTGCTTAGCATGCTCCAGTACACTATGTCTTCCACCGAACCCCATCTCTGGTGCTCTAGGTTGAGCGTGCCCCTGCGTCCACTGCTTCATTGCATGCTCTGCCCTCTCATGCGTATGCTGCTCCGCCCCTGGCGCTCCCCAGTCTTGCCTTTACTGCTGCTTGCTCCAGTCATGCCTAACCTGCTGCCCCCCTTGTGCACTCCCCTCTATCTGCTCGTGCCTTTTCTGCTCCCCCCCCAACTCTCTCAACTCATGCCTTTTCTGCTGCACCCTCTTGCACTATCTGGTTGCCTTGCTGGTTGCCCACCCTTGGACACTCCTCACATTGTCTCTACTGCTGCCCCCCTTGCTGACTCCACGCTTTTGCCGCCCGTGCTACCCCCCATGCTGACTCTACTTTCTTGCCTGGCGTGCTGCCCCCCTTGCTGTCTCCACCAATGCGTCTACCTCCGTTTTGATGTCTCCTCGCAAGTGTGTGATGCCTATCTTGCTGCCCCCCCTTGTAAACTCCACTCATGCCTCATCTGCTGCCCCCCTTGTTTAGTCGCCCCATCGCTCGACCCTCTTGCCTCCCCGGCGTTTGCCACTCTTGTGTCTTTTGCCCCTCCTTCGCTCCTGGCCCCCCCCCCTTCTCATCCTCATCCTCATCCTCTTCCTCCTCTTCCACTTCTTCCTCCTCTTCCTCTTCCCTCCTGCTTCCCTTGCCTCCGCCTCTTTTGTGCTTTCTGCCCTTCCTCCTATCCTGCCCCCTATGATTTTCATCCGCCTGCTCCCCCTCCTCCTCCTCCTCATCCTGTTCCTCGTCCCCTCTGCTTCCTCTGATTTTCCCTCTCTTCTGCCTTCTGCCCTTCCTAAGCTCCCGCCCCCCCCGTTCCACATCCTCCTCCTCCTCTTCCTCATCCTCATCCTCCTGCTCATCCCTCTTGCCTCCCCTTCTTTTGCATCTCTTGTGCCTTTTGCTCTTCCTCCGCTCCTGCCCCCACTATTCCTCCTCCTCCTCATCCTCCTCCTCCTTCTCCTCCTCCTCCTCCTCCTCATCCTCCTCCTCCTCCTCCTCCTCCTCCTCCTCCTCCTCATCCTCCTCGTCATCCGTCTTCAAGTCCTCCGCGTCGTACACCTCCTGCTCTTCCTCCTTCAAGTCCTTCTTCTCCTTGTCAGGCACGGCCTTCCCCTTGAACGCCTCAAATTCTGACTCGTGAAGATAAAGGCCACGGTCGCCCCACTTGAAGCCGTGCACGACTGTGTTGTACACGGGGGTGTGGCGTGTGAAGTGGTCCTTGATAATCCACCGCACATTTCGGTGCAAACCCGTCATCCACTCGGTGTTCTTGCGGTGGGAGTTCGAGACGTTCCAGTCGGTCTTCTTAACCTTTGCCAAGCCCTGGTCAATCTGGAAAAGCGTAGCAAAGTATGGGAAAGAGGGGAAATAGAGACATATGTGGACACTCGCGTGTAGAATTCACGGGCTGCGCAAATAGCCCCACATTCCAGTCTGGCGGGCAAGAATTGCAAGCAAAGCTAGAGCGAACTGACGGGAGAGCAATAATGCCTTACCACCATGATTGACCAGGCAATGTGGTAGGCTTTGACGCACACCCGGCGCCCGACACAGAGATTCCGAAATTCTTCGCGGACCGCATCTACAAACCGGCCGTTGGCAAACGGGAGCCCGTCTCTGCTGTTTCCCCACGAGCTGACCCGCTGATTCCCTCCTGCGCGCACGCAGGACAAGACGGGGACGAAGATCATGCACGCCATGGTTTAGGGGTTGTCCAAAGGGTATGGACGAAGTGGAGGGTGGTTTAGAATGAATGGAGGGTTGGCTGGAGGGCAGTAGAGCAGGGAAGGGCGGGAGAGAAGGGGAGGGCAGGAGGGAAGGGGAGAGCAGGGGAGAGGGGGAGGGCAGGAGAGACATGGAGGGCGGGATAGAAGGGGAGGGCTGAAGAGAAATGGAGGGAGGGAGAGAACGGGATGGCGGGAGGGAAGGGGAGAGGTGTAGATTAAAGGGGGGGCGGGAGAAGGGGACAGTGGGAGAAGAACCAACGTTAAGCTGTCATGCGGATGTGACTGCACATGCGCTACAAGCCTGGGCAAGGAGAGCAGGTATGTAGTTGCGTGCCACAGTGGGGATGCATTAGGGTAAGTTGTTCATCATCGTCACGAGGGGTGCACGAGCAGATGAAATGAATGGTGAAGTAAAACAGAAACGCGCGTACTCACTCGGTTGGTATTTTCTCCACATCTTCTTCTTCTTCTTGGTGCCCATCCAGAGATCGGCTGCACGCAGGCCTTGCACATTCTTGCCGAAAGTTACAAGCACTCTGCGCTTGAGGTGGAAGCCATGATCGTTCTTCCATGACGTCCAAGCGCGTTTGAAGCCGTCGACGATGTTTTTGTCTTCCATAGCCTCTCGCAGCTGCATCAGCTTAATTATGTGCGTCTTGCTGATAACCTGATACAAAACCTGAAGGCGCTGTTCGAGCATTGGGTAGAAGTCTATGGCATCATCTGGCCATTCTAGGCACATCCGGTCCCGCCCCACGGCGAAATGAACCTATGACGGACGGGTGGATTGGAAACGTAGAATTGAGTGATGCCTCCGAATGAAGGGCGGAATTCAGTGGTTGAGAGAGAGGGCTGTTGCCATCACTGCGTCGCATGGCTCCAATACCAACAACAGCACCATGAACATGGGCTCGGGAAGAGGTGGGGGAGGGATGGGAGAGAGGGTGCAGGGAGAGGAAGGATAGCTGCTATGGTGAGCTATCACTCCGCCGCATGACACCCACCCCACCACCAGCACCATGAACAGGAGCTCTGGTTGAGGTAGGGGAGCGATGCACAAGTGAGAGGGGAGAGAGGGGGGATAAAATAGTCAGAGCGAAAGACGGGAGAGTAGGCACATTGAGAGGGCACCGTACGCCCAGCGCGAGGGTCCATGTTCTCCTCGTACGAGGAGTCTCAACTTCCACTGCAGCCACCCCCCTGCATGCTACGCTGCATGCCAGACGCGTGACCAGCACCACCATTTACAGTGGCTCTGGACAAGGAGGGAGAGGGACGGGATAGAGAGGGGAGGGAGGAGCGGCAGACAGAAAGGGGGCCGCGTGAGATTGACGGATACGGCTTCCTCTATTCCCTCCGCCGCATGACACCCACACCACCCCCAGCACCATGAACAGGGGCTCTCACAGATGGCGGGGAGGGATGGGAGAGAGAGGGGAGTGAGATGAAGGATGACTGCTATGCTTAGCTATCCCTCCGCCACACGACATGTATTCCACACCACACCCAGCACCATGAACATGGGCTCTCGCAGAGGGAGGGGAGGGATGGGAGAGGGCGGGGAGTGAGATAAAGGATGACAGCTAGGCTTAGCTATCCCTCCGCCGCATGACACCCACACCACCCCCAGCACCATGAATATGGGCTCTCGCAGAGGGAGGGGAGGGATGGGAGAGAGGGGGGAGGGATGGGAAGGATAACTGCTGCGATTTACGATCACTCCGCCACATGACACCCACCCCACCACCAGCACCATGAACAGGAGATCTGGTTGAGGTAGGGGAGCGATGCACGAGTGAGAGGGGAGAGAGGGGGGATAAAATAGTTAGAGCGAAAGACGGGAGAGTAGGCACATTGAGAGGGCACCGTACGCCCAGCGCGAGGGTCCATGTTCTCCTCGTACGAGGAGTCTCAACTTCCACTGCAGCCACCCCCCTGCCCGCTACGCCGCATGCCACACGCGTGACCAGCAGCACCTTTTACAGTGGCTCTGGACGAGGAGGGAGAGGGACGGGATAGAGAGGGGAGGGAGGAGCGGCGGACAGAAAGGGGGCCGCATGGGGTTGACGGATACGGCTTCCTCTATTCCCTCCGCCGCATGACACCCACACCACCACCAGCACCAGGAACAGGGGCTCTCGCAAAGGGAGGGGAGGGACGGGAGAGAGAGGGAAGTGAGATGAAGGATAACTGCTATTCTTAGCTATCCCTCGGCCGCATGACACTCACACCACCACCAGCACCAGGAACAGGGGCTCTCGAAGAGCTAGGCAAGGGATGGGAGAGAGAGGGGAGGGATATGAAGGATTACTGATACAATGAGCTATCCTTGCGCCGTGTGCCACCCACACCAGCACCAGCACCATGAACAGGGGCTCTGGTTTAGGGTGGGAAGGGATGGGATAGAGGGGCCAAGGGAGGATGGATAACTGCTATGGTGAGCTCTGGGTCGGGGGCAGAATGTGAGAGCATCGTACGTCCAGCGCCACGTCCTTGATGCGAGGCGTACTGGGAATGCCTATTTCACCGCAGACATGCCGCTATCACTGCTAATGCCACAAACACGCTTACCAGCAGCAAGAGGGGTTGATAGAGAGAGCTGCAGCTATCACTGAGCCCCATGCCACACATTGTTTAACACTAAAACAATCTCACCTTCAGCAGCTTGGGTGTGGGCATCCCACGCGTTCGACGGACCGGTACGTCTACCGTCGCTGTGCTTTCTGGCTCCACGTCTGGATCGAAGCCCCCTATAGATGGGCCGCTCGACAGAGATGCTATAGGAGGAGGCCTAGATGGAGGGGTGCAGGGCTTGACAGCTCCTTTTGATCCTGGCCTTGCTTTGAGTGCAGCGATTTCGCGATCCCGCTGGGCAAGCTCTCGCATGAGCTGCTCCACAGTCCTGCCGCCTGCCACATCCGGCCGATTGGATACGCCAAGTGTGCCCATGCTCTCTCCCCTCCCCTCCTTAGTCGTCGGATCCAGTTTCTCGTCCCCCCCTTCTCCCCTGCTCTCCCGTATATCCCACATGGAGCCTTCCACACCGCCGCCACATTCACCCAAGGCATTCGCCCACACACCTCCTCCCACACCGTCATTCGCTGCTGCAGCTACCGAGGGTTCGTGCCGCTTCGTTGCCCCCTCGTTCTTCACATGAACCGCGCGACCCCCCATATGGTTGGGGGGCGGGTCCGTCGCTTCTTTGCCCAACCGCGCTGACCCCCAAGCCATCTGATCTCCCTTCCCAGCCGAACCCCTCGGATTGCGTAACGCAGCGTACGGGTCCGCGGCTTGCCGTTCATGAGAGCTTGATGGACATCGTATCCCCATTGATACGTAAAAATTCAACTCCCGCCTCGCCTTGCTACGCACACCCACTTTTTTTGCTTCAAATCGAGGTCTCTGGCGCTTGCCATAAGGTTTGGCACAACGCGCACTCTGTTTACATATCTTCACCCGTCCCCTCTCTGATTTTTGCTTAGCGTTGCCCTTCTTGAGCTTCCGCACACTCCTCCTGTTCAAAGGCCGAGCCTCCTCCCCATCCTTGCTCTCCGGCTCCAACTCCTCATCATCCTCGTCCTCCTCCTCCTCAACCTCGTCCTCGTATACCTCCTCACTCCCGGATGAGCTGCCCGACTCACTGTCGCTCGAATCTTCCTCGGAACCAGACGAGCTCAAAACATCCACATTGTGGCCGCGCCGAGCTTGTCTCGCCTTATGGTCGCAACTGCCCGGATCCACAGCCTTGCGCCGTTGGTAGGGAATCACAGCTTCACGTCCACCTTTCTCATCAGTCACAGCTGCTGGCTCGTCCTCATCATGATCGTTGACGCCACGGCATGCAGGCACGGCATTATCCTTCTCGTCGCCACCATCCGCATCCTGCGTCTGCCTGCCCGAGGGACCGCCCTTAGCCGCGGCAGCCCTGCCGCCGTTGCGCATGCTGCCACCACGAGCTTCCGGCTCGGCATGATCCTTATCGTCGCCACCATCCGCATCCTCTGAGCCCGAGGGACCAGCCTTGGCCGCGGCAGCCCTACCGTCGTTGCGAATGCCACCACCACAAGCTTCCGGCTTGGCATGATCCCTATCGTCGCCACCATCTGCATCCTCCGACTGCCTGCCCGTGGGACCGCCCTTAGCCGCGGCAGCCCTGCCGCCGTTGCGTATGCCGCCATCACGAGCTTCCGGCTCGGCATGATCCTTCTCGTCGCCACCATCCGCATCCTGCGAGTCCGAGGGACCGCCCTTGGTCGCGGCAGCCCTGCCGCCGGTGCGCTTTCCGCCACCACGAGCTTCCGGCTCGGCATGATCCCCCTCGTCGCCTCCATCCGCATCCTGCGACTGCCTGCCCGAGGGACCGCCCTTGGCCGCGGCAGCCCTGCCGCCGTTGCGCTTTCCGCCACCACGAGCGCGTTGGCCTGCCGTCCCATCTGCGAAGGCGAACATGACAGGTACATAAGATATAAACAATATATAGGGAGTTGCAGCATGACATGCGGCGTCATTGTTTTGAGTGACGTGGAAAATATAAACCGTCGATATCACACCCACAGCGTACCTAAGCTGTCAGGTCCCCCGTCTTTGCCCTCCTCGTCGCCTTCAGAGGCAGGCGTTTCCTAACGATGTGAACGAGTGCCTCTTTTTCTTGGACGGTGCTTACGGCCCCCCCGGTTGTCACGGTTGTCCGCTATCGCTGATGTGGAAACACGATTGGAGAGAGGATAACCTCCAACAGGTCAGACAAGACCACAAGCATCAATTCATGCATACAAGTAGAATATTCCGCATCTGCGACCATAAACACATACCTTTCTGGCCGCCTTTGGGAACGAGATCATCTAAGCGCTTCACGCGCTTATCCCTTGGTTTTGAAGGGGATGATATGCCCTGGTTTGCGTATGGCTCCACATCGCAGTCGCTATTCGATTCGTCACCGGATGACGAGACACGTCTGGAATCAACAACATCTCGCGCCGTCGACGCATTATTTTTGCGATACTCGATTACAAGCTCGGCCGTCTTATCTGCTGTTACTAACTCCGCAAAAATTGTTTCGTCGCGGGTTTTAGTCGATTCAGCCAGGACGATCGCCCCCTCGGGCCCCTTCATTGTCCGACTTCCTTGTTACCATGTCTAGCTTTCCATTCACGCAGTACTATGAGGTTGCGGGTTGTGCTACCGCCTAGAACCTGACAGCAGTCTACGAGCATAAAAATTGGTAGAGGAGGGAGAGGGACGAGGCAAAGTCTGGGGCCTAGAGCAGACGATCGTCACAGCTGGAGGCATGCAAGGGGAGCACGGAGGTGATGAGGGTTTGAGTGTTTCCTGCTATGGTGCACGTTGCGACTGCCAGGTCCCCCATTTCCGCCCTCAACCAATCGCCTGGTGGTTGAGGTGTATAAAGGAAAAAAATGCAGCACTGCTGTGTTAAGATTCCGTGGGACCTAACGTGCTTAATTGAGTATCAGTCCACAAGCGGCAGGGTGGGCTTCTTTTTGTTAAACCCGACAGTCAAATGCGGTACTGTATTTGGGTTTGCGAGGGTCATAATTATTCTGCCCGGGTTGTCGTACTGTTTACAATGAAGTGCCTCGCGTGCCACACAAACCTACACAATCTGCACGTCAAGAGTCACATAGGGTCTGCGGAGAAACAGCGACGCTCGATCGCAGCAAGTCGTACAGCGATGCGACAGGTCGACACGAAGCTGTTGCGGCACGCCTGCGATAAAAACCGCAGAGTTCCTTGTGTATGGTTGCGACTGGTTCGCAAATCAGGGAGCTTCGAGTACGTGGCATAGCGTGGAGTCGAGTGGAATGGCGCAGGGCGGGGCACGTAATGGCACATTAGTTTGCAAAGCCTCAATAGTGAGGTGTACCCACATGATAAAAATAGAATTAGAGGGTTATGGAGCTGTAACGAAAATCTCGTTTTCCATACTGCGCATCCCTGCTCAACGCATCCATCACTGTAGCACCTCAGTCAGCACCATTACCACTCGCATCGACAATCCGCCCGCCACTTTCGCACGTCGCACCCCGACCTCACGGCTCGGCGGTAACCCGCGCTCCGGACCTTCGCCTCGACATTTTCCCAACCTCAGTCCCAGGCCCGTCGCGCGACAACCACAGTCCATTACCGTTACCACTGTGGTTTTGCTATATAACCTTTCGCTCATACCTTCGCTTAGTTGCACTTTTTTCCCGATAGTGCAATCCTTGTTCGCTCACTCAATTGCACTCGTAACAGGAGTCCCCCTAACCCATTAGCATAGAGACAAGTATGCAACATAACAGTATAAAACCAAACACCACCTTCACAGAACATGCACATAACGGTCTGTGGTGGAGCAGTCATTCTGATACATCGATTGATTAGTAAGTATGCATTATTTGATTGCTGCCTGGTCGTTATGCAACGCGTATGGGCATGTCTCCTCTCATGCCAATTGAGGTGCAATAATACGGTAATAGAGCCAGACACAAACTCCCTGTATGGGGCAAGGCTGCTCTCGTGCCATACAGGGCAACCATTATGCAGGGACCCAAGACCATGCTGTGTTGTACGTTCTAGGTTCATGCTGCAACGGAGTTGAGAAACCCCTGCTGTTCTACCCACTAGAGTTGTTGTGACATGCAGGTATGTTTTGCAGCAACACACCGACCCATTGTGTATTGTTTGTATACATGTCAAGCAGAAACGCCAGTGACAAACACTTCCCTACGGGTAGTGTTCTCTAGACATGGAGGACTGGTTGTGGCCAACACTCTCATTTGGCCACACTTGTTGTCCAGTCATGCAGGACTGATTCAAGGCCTCTCCATTGCGCTTTGTGTCATGTTTGTTGGCATATCAAGTTGGCAGGACGGATCAACAAACAATTCCGTATTGATCTTGTCCTCATTCCCCCATGCTACCCGCTTCCTTGTTCTTCACTCACACACTTATTCCTCCCACGTACCCGCCTCACCCCCTCCTGCTTCCCGCCTCATTCCCCTTTGCTTCCCGCCTCATGTCCCCTCGCTTCCGGCCTCATCCCCCCTTGCTACCCACCCCATTCCCCCTTGTTTCCCACCCCATTCTTCACTGTGACCCTCCTCATTCTCCCTTGATACCCTCCCCATTTCCCCTTGCTTCAGGCCTCATTCCCCCTTGCTTCGGGCCTCATACTCACTTGCTTCCTCCCTCATTCCCCCTTGCTTCACAGCCGCGTCCCCCTTGCTTCCCGCCTCATTCTCCCTTGCTACCCCCTCATTCCCTCTGCTTCCCGCCTCTAGTCCCCTCGTTTTCGGCCTCATCCCCCCTTGCTACCCACCCCATTCCCTCTTGCTTCCCACCCCATTCTTCACTGCGACCCTCCTCATTCTCCCTTGATACCCTCCCCATTTCCCCTTGCTTCAGGCCTCATTCCCCCTTGCTTCGGGCCTCATACTCACTTGCTTCCTCCCTCATTCCCCCTTGCTTCACAGCCGCGTCCCCCTTGCTTCCCGCCTCATTCTCCCTTGCTACCCCCCTCATTCCCTCTGCTTCCCGCCTCTAGTCCCCTCGCTTTCGGCCTCATTCCCCCCTGCTACCCACCCCATTCCCCCTTGCTTCCCACCCCATTCTTCACTGCTACCCTCTTTATTCTACCTTTCTACCCTCCCCATTTCCCTCTTGCTTTAGGCCTCATTCCCCCTTGCTTCGGGCCTCATACTCACTTGCTACCACCCACATTCCCCCTTGCTTCAGCTCCTCGTCCCCCTTGCTTCCCGCCTCATTCTCCCTTGCTACCCCCATCATTCCCTCTGATTCCCGCCTCTTGTCCCCTCGATTTTGGCCTCATTCCCCCCTGCTACCCACCCCATTCCCCCTTGCTTCCCACCCCATTCTTCACTGCTACCCTCCTCATTCTCCCTTGCTACCCTCCCCATTCCGTATCCGCAGCTCCTACTGATAGGAAACGCGTACCCAAATGTCACGCCATCAGAACCGAGCGAACAAGTGAGGCAGATCGCGGAGGCGCCTTGCGAAGGCACGGTTGTCGTGGAACCTGATGGTGAAGACGATCCGAAAGACTTGAAGGCCGAAATTTGCATTTTATCACGGAAGCACGGCCTTACGAACGGGGCTATAACGGACCTTATAGACCTGTTCCGGATTCCAGGCCTTGATATCGAACAGCTACAAGGCTGGACGACCTACACAGACGTTGAAAAGTATGAGAGCAGCTTCGAGTTGGGACCGGAGCAGTCGTGGCGAGTTTTGGATATTAAAGTGGATCATGAAGTGGGATTCCTCACCTTCAGATGTCGCAATATTAACGTGGTGCATCCGTCGCAACATATTGTGCTCTTTGTATGTGTTACTACCTCTGTAACACGGCCCAAGCTGTTTCTGCTGAGCCCCTTACCAGTCTCAATTCGTAGTCGACAACTCCTATCTTCACTGCTTCCACTTGTACGCACCAATAAACAATGCCCATCCCTCCCTGCAGTTGGCGCAGACAATGTTCAAGAAGATGTCCGCAGTACGCGGATTCATCATTGAGCCGAAGGAGTGGAAGGTGGAGGGGGAAAGGCGCTACAGCACTCCCGGCAACACGGACTGGATGCTGAAGGCTTGGGTTAGTTAGCATCCAAAGCGCGATGTCCTTTGTCATGGAATATCTGTCGCCCTAGCTCGTTGTTCGTCACCCACCACGGTATTTTCCTCTCTTGAAAGGGGAGATGACCCGCATTTGTTCTCTGAATCTGATCTTTTGCTCGCTGATGTCCCGCCGTTTGCTCGCTGATTTTGTCGTTTTGCTCCCTAATCTCCGCCCTCTGCTGGATGATCTTGTCTCTATTCTTTATAATCCCCGCCTTTTGCTCGCTGATCTCCTGCCGTTTGGTGGCTGATTAAGACCCTTGTGCTCTCTCATCACCCGCTCTTTACTCTCTGATCTCCCGTTCTTTCATCTCTCTTCTTAGCGTGAAGCTCCCTAATCTTCGCGTCTTGCAATCTTGAGCCCATGACTGTTGCAATATGTCACTAATCTCGTGAGTTCTGGCCATCGCTATCGCTCGCCAACCTTTTGATCATTTTGTAACTCCAGACATTCACTTTGATTCCTGCCCCGTGATCCCTTTCTTGTCCCCGTGCTCTATCCCCTTACTCATTTTTTCACCTAACCATACTCTATGCTCTCACACATGACAGGACCGCGTTCGTGTCGTCGGTGCGATCGTGTTGGCTATCATTCTCTATTCGGATCAAACTAACTTGTCTCACAATGGCAGACAATCAGCACACCCGTTCGTCTTGTCGTTCGGTATCACACCGGAATGGGCGCGTTGGTTGGAGGGCGGCACAGAGCTGGTGGGCCTCTTCCCTAACATTCCCTCCAACATGAAGCCAAAGGAGAAGATTAGGGTGTTCCAGCTAGCGGCTGAATACATGCTACAGCCGCTGAAACACCTCTCCAA